CCCTCTATGGACAAACACATAGGGCGTGGGGGCCGTCCGTCAGGGGGAGCGGCCAATAGCGCCCCTCTCCCTCCCCCCAGATCTGGGCAGTGCAATACACAGATGGATGAGTTTCCCATTCACCCTCCTCCTGCTGGCTCACCTAGGAGGACGGATAAGGGAGAGTGGGTACAAAGAAGTTAACCTCTGAATCAACATTTACATATCTTAGATTTTGAGTCACAATAATGAAGGGTGTGGGATTACCTCTTGGGTGATGTAGAGGATCTAAACGCCATAGCAAGCTGCCAGTCTCTCCTTCAGCAGTGGGGGAAACTGCTCTGAGAACTGCTGCCAGTTCTCCTCCCCAACCTGCTCCTTAAAACCGTGCAGGATCTGCAGGAATGGTCAGAAGATGGGGGAGGATTCATTTCAGGCACATCCTCAAGTACATTTCTTAAGCAGTTGAGCCACAGACTACACACATTTACAGCTATTGTCAGGAGTTAAAAATGTTTCTTCAAATATGTGATCCTTCAACACTTATCGGTAACAGAGGGAACAGTTACTTATCGGTAACTGTTGAAGCAACAGAAGTCCTGCAAGTAAGTGTTTTATTGACTGCAACAAACCTTAATTACCTATTGGTAAGTGGTAATTGACTAATTGCAACTTTGTTATTAAATTTTGACCACTGAAGTACATTATCAACTAACGGGGGTCTTGCATTAATGGACCAGAGTGTAGGATTTAGTGGCATCTAGCAGTAAAGCTGCAGAACTGGGTGAATGCAGCTCAGCCTTTCAAGCATGTAGAAGAAACTATGGTGGCAGCAAAACAAACAACAAACATGAAGGGACCTATCTAGAGAGTGTTCAGGGCTGCAGTAGAAACATGGCAGTTCAACTTGGCGGCCTCTGTGGAAGAAGACCTGCTCCCTCTGTAGGCAGGGTCATAGCAGCTCATACTAAGCTAACAAAAACGAAACAATTCCCATTTTCAGGTGATTATACATGGGAAAACCATATCTATGAATATAAGATTTGGTTTCTTCCAGTAAAGCCTCTTAAACATTACACACTAAACCTGAAATTGATCATTGTGGGACCCTCTTACAAACGGTGTCTGTGTCAAAATCTAGTTTCAAGACCTTTATTGTTTTAGTCCAATGATGCATCTTCTGTGTTATGCCTTCTCACATTACACATATTTATCTGTCCATTATTAATATAAAAAATATTGATTAGCTTGTTGCAATTTCATTAAAGTCTGAATTATTAAAGCTGCACTACATGCAGTACAATTCCAGCATAGGAGCACTGGTTGGTTTCTTGGTGTGTGGACTGCCTTGTGCAGGTTTCTGTGTGCACCTCACTAGATGGGAACAAGGTACACATACAATGCCTACACAACTGCAACGCCCTGGACTGCAAGTTTGTTTTAAGCCTGAAACGCAGAGTGAATTTTATATGCAACATATTTATTTTACAAATTTACCAACTGTTTAATTGCCAGTCACACCCTGACAGAATTTTGTGGTCAGAAATGTGTTGCTTTTAAAATCTTGATTGTGTTAAGAAGAAACTAAAGAGGACTAGCTGCTCCGACCAGACCTCATCACATAGTAGCAAGATGATACAGAACACTCACCACCAGGTCACCAGGTTAATTTGGCCTACAATGGTTAAATGTCCCAACAGAAATATTAAGCGAGTATTACAGAAATTCGCCATTAGTGTAAATACACGCATTGGTGGATTTTGCTGTGAATTTGACACTAAATTTGCACACAGAGCCTTTTGGCCTTCATTTGGTAAACTCCTGTGGGGGAGTGTGTTCACTTCATTTCTTTGCAGAACAAAAGCAGTGTCTGTGTTGCTGAGCATCATAGCAGAAAACTGCAGCACTCTCTGCTTCGCCTGAGGTCTCTACAGCTCACAGTGACTCACACGGCAGGGGGAGAGGAGAATGAAGAGTGTGATAATTTAGTGGTGAATATAAATCAGCCTGTAGTTGGGACTGGTTGTGTAAACACAAGAACTTGCTCCTCGATAAGACGTGGACATTATTTCTACCCCTGATCAACACGCTGAGCCCCTCACCTTGTAGAACATGTCTCTCAAATCGTCTTTAGGATTCACCCAGGAGGCCACAGCATCACAGAAGAAGATGAAGTCCTGAACAAACACAGAGGAAGAGGAGTTTACAGCCAAACACACAGACTGTTAAAGCAATAACGTAATGCCTGCAGTGTACCGTGTCTCACCTGCACTACACCTCCTGGGTTCACACCAATCATCATGCAAATCCCACGGAAGGCAGAGTCTTTCTCCTCGTTGTCTCTGATGTTCCGCAGTGACGTACACCTGCAATTATTAACCAATTAGCAGCTGCTAAACTTATTCAGAATCACTTTTATTGGCCAGGTATGTGTACACATACAAAGAATAGGCCTACATACAACAAGAACAACAAAATCAACATGGTAAACATTAATCTAACATGTACATTACACTCTGCACCATTGCACTATTAATATGATATGACAGTATATACAGTATGCAGAGCGTTTGTGTATGAGTGATGATATTTATGTTAAAAAAATGGTGTAATTAAAGTGTCTAATTCAATATATATTTGATGCTGTCACTGCCAAGAATTCAACTCTCTTAAGCTGTCTATGAGAGAATATACAAAATTAGAACAAGTAAGCTAAAAGCAATTTTAAGAAAGTCAAATAAATAGTAACGGCCAAACTGTCCTTATCTTACCATGTGGGATTTTTTTAAAGAAAACTCACAGGCTTAAGTGTTCACTACTTGCTGATTCTAATCACTTCAAGAATTTATTTAAAGCATGCTAATAATGCAGCCCCTTGTGTATTGCTGTAATTGTGCTCACACAAAAAAAACACAAAGAAGGAAAAAAACCAGAACAACAGAAACAAATGTGCATTGCCTGTTAGGGGAAAAAATGCCACAAATGTGTCTTCCTTGTACGGATAAGATAACATAATTCTATGCAGACTGGAAAGAGAGAGAATGTGGTGAGACCAGAAAATGAGAGGGAGAGTGTGTCTGCTGAATGTGTGATAGTGTGATAGATGCAGATGTTGTTTAATTACACCACATAGGTTTCATACATTGCATGGGGAATGAAAGACACAGAAAAGGTCGCTCACCAAGGTCGGATAAACTGCGGCAGCATGGCAGCAACCTCCTGAGGGCACACGTAGCCCAGTCGGCCGATGGTGATTGCTGGAAAAGGAGTCAGGACTGCTGTTAGATCAGAGTGTGTGCGGTATCATGATGCTAACTGCACTAACCTCTCCCATGAGAACCACTAAATACCCTTTTGAGCGTACTCTGCTCTAATTTTCAACTGTTAGTACAAACACACAGCTATAAAATCTGTCTACTTCCCTTTAAAAAACAAGTATGAAAAATATCTGTGTATTCACATACCGGTGTTCTCCAGCAGGGTCTTGGGGGTGTTGGGTCGATTAATAATCTCAACCAGCTGGTTCAAAACCATAGCGATGTACGGCTGCATCTCCACTCCTGATAGAGTGGTAAATTAAAGTAAGATACATCTCATACTTGACTAGCACAAGAACTTGACGGCATCACATGTAAGTAGATTTGCTGCAACTCACCCATCTGCATACAGATCTCTCCTATGGCCCAGGTCGCATTGTTGCACACTGAGATGAACTCTGGGTTCAGATTTGTCCCAAGGATTGGCATGAATTCAGCTGCAGGTGACACACACATAAGAAAAAATGTCCTCCTTACATTAAACACACACAAAAAAAAAGAGGATGATGGGAACATTATATATGTACTGTATGTGTATGTGATGACTATGAGATAATTACCAATACACGGTTTGACATGAGGGAAGCAGGCCTTGGTCAAGTCACCCAGTAGAGCAAATGAACTCTGTCTTACTTCAGGCATCGTATCCTGGGACAAAAGAGACAGAGAGACAAAGAAAAATGTGAACACACACCGTCGACAGACCCAAAGAGTTGTCCTGTGGCACAACTAACTACTCACTTCCTGTTGCATTACAGTCTTGCAAAAAAAATGCCAGCTGACTAAAAGCAGCAAGATTTGCAAACAGACTTTTTAGAGATGGCAGGCAGTAAAAGCTGCGACAAATACAGTGAACTTCCTGTGGCTGCTTCGCAATAAAAGCCATGAGAAGCTGAGAAACATATACAGTACAGTACAATCTGATACCACTGTAACTGCACAGGGAAGCTAACATTACAAACAGTAACGCTGGAGTACATGCGTTCATCGTTTTAAGCGAATCCCTCATAAGTGTGCAGATAACTTGAATCCAGGCCAGAATGGCGGACTCCACCACTAACAATGAAAGCTTCCATGTAGAGAGCTAATAACAGAATGTAAATACACTGACACACACGGGCTCTCCTCACCTGCATGCACTGGAAAAGCAGAGTCATGATGTTACTGCGGGCCACAAGCGTGTCCACATGGCCCCCCAGTCCCTCTGCCAAGCCGCTTAAAAGATCCAGAGCCACAATCATGAAGTCCTTGTCAGGTGCTTCATACTGGTCTGGCTGCTGACTGTACATCTGACACACAGAAGAAAAGGTGGAGAAACATCAGATTTGGGACGTGGGAAGTGTAATTTATATAAAGCAGCAAAAATATACATTTCCTCTGTAAAAATCCATGTGACTGAGTGTGCGTATGTGTATGTGTGTTGCTTACCATGGCCTGAGCCAGTGTCTTCTGGACCAGGGTGACGCAGCGCTGGTAGACGGGCTCGCAGTAAGGGAG